CTGGTTTCTTGGTCTGTTTTTTTTTTAGTCCATAGATTAAGCTATAAACAGTGCTTTATATGAATTCTGCTCTTCTAGATACATTCTTTATGACCAATTTGATATATTAGATGGTAAATAACTGGAAAGAAATGTATGTAAAATATTCATTCATTTTATTGTCTAATTCGCATCATGAGACAGGTATTGCATATGAAACTTAAAACTTAGGTGACCTCCTCTGTAATATGTTACACAATACTGCTCCAAGTACAGGAGCATAATTGCCAGGGGCCTCACGGGCACCTCACTGTGCCGAGGCTTTACTCCAAGCATGGCTCTATGTTACAACTAAGCTTTACGAACTAATCGAGGAGTCGCTTGATTCTGTTTGGAATTGGACATTATAGATTTCCAATTTTTCAACCTCGATTAGGGACCAAAAACTTCAAAATTCTACATTAAATACACTCCCTAAGTCTAATGCATTAATAATAGGGGTTGAGAAAGATCCGTCCCTACTTCGAAATAGAATGACTCTAGAACTGGGAAAAAAAGCGCATTTATGAATTTTAAAAGCCTATATAGATTGGCCTATTGGCATGATTTTTGAAAAGTCAAATGAGTTTTTGAGACCCAAAAATTTCCTTTGGACTCGTTTGGTTAAATTTATGATAGTGCTTTTGGTAGGTAGAAGAACTTTTGGAGGAAACAGATCCAATATGATTTCTTCTAAAAGTACTTTCGAAATAAGAAATGCTTTTAAAAATTAGTTTCCAAATAAAAATTGAGGTAACTTCCTCTAAAAAAATTTCTACAAGAAGCAAAAATACCAAAGGGACCCTAAAACTTTATGGACTACTTTTGAGTAGTGATGTGTAGAAAAAAAAAGTTCGAAAATTGTTGAATTATTAAGGAATAGGGCTCAGGGACTAAAATGTAGTATCGTCAGTCCTTCAAAGAATCTGTTAGCCCTAGAAATAAATGGGTCGGCCGAATATTAAATGGGAAAATTAATCCAAACCTTACCTCTAAAGTTTCAATTTCAAAAATCAAATTTTAATAACTTTTCTTCAATAATCGGGTGATAATTCATCTTTTAAATATTAATAATAATATTATAAGATTAAATTTAATCTACATATTTCCTGACCCAATTTCATTTCCAAATCCTAATCATCTTTCCTTATCTTCTCTCTCTTTACTCTCTTCATTCTCACTCTATATCCTCTCCCTTCTCTCAATCACAAACCACCGTCAGTGATACTATCGTAACGTCGCCATCACAACGACATCGCTCTGAAGCAAATATCGTCTCTAAGAAGCCGTTGTGCGGCTCTGTGATCGACGCGATGTCGCTGTGTAGCGGCGCATCTGTCTTCATCTATCTTCACTGTTGTTCAGCCTCCTTTAGTAGCAACATAAGCGATGTTCCAGTAGTCTTCACTACTATGTAGAGGCTTTTGTGCCGTGGTGTGTAGTTATGTGCCGCTGTGTAGAGTGTTTGTGCGATGGTGTCTTCGTTGCTGCTATGTGATCTCATGTGGTTGTGTGAAGCTGTGCCGTTGTGTACAACTTCTGTGTGGTGGTGTTTTTCGCAGTTGTGGTTGTGCAGATATGAGCGATGGACTATTGGTGGTGTGTACGAATCTGTGGGTGATGTGTGGATCCATTAATCTACATCATGTGGTGGTGGTTTGAAAGTGTTGGTGGTAGTTGTGGTGGTGGGTTATGGTGGTGACAAACTCATAAATTTAGGCCCTGTTTGGGAGG